GGGTTTAAGATGTGTGTAGGGCTTAAGGACTTTGTAAACCCTAAAGGCTAGCGTGCTTAGGGTCTAGAGGAAGCCCCTCTGAACTTTCAAGCATGTCGAAACCCTAAACCGTACATGTATTAGCCCTTTCAAGTCTGTCGAAGTCCTCTCTTCTTCAACAACCGGGCCCCAAAAAGCTCAAACTTTCTAAGACAGAGCCAAGATCTAAGGCCAAAAAGTTTAACGTTCCCCCGATCACTGTCTAAGAATCCTGTTTCAAGGATCAAGCTTGTGGTCCGAACACCCTTGGAAAGTATAAAGGCTTCCGGTTGTCATTGTGTCTGTCGGGTTCTAAGGTGCGTCGGATAGGGTTTGGGGCCACCGGGATTTAGGGCTTCAGGTGAGCTGCACCCTGAACCCTTGAAACGCTATACCCTTACAGAACCTGAAAACGGAACCCTTAAAGGGGACCCTATAATAGAACCCTATAATACCCCTTTACAGGGTACCCGATAATAGAACCCTATAGTACCCCTCAAAGGAACCCCAAAAAGCCCTAAACCCTAAAGAACCCTTGAAGGAACCCCCCCGCCCCCCAAAATGCCTTGAATTCCCTGCATGAGGTAAAGAACCCTTCTAGGAACTCCACTAAAAGCACTAAGCCCTAAACCTTAAACCGTGAATTTCCTGCATGAGGGGGGCCACCTTGGCAAGGCTTGACGTCTGTGGCGTTAGCAGCTAGCAGTCAGGAACTCCGGACAAATTCCGGTGCCGGTTCGGCGGAACCTGGTTCATGTGAAGCCCCCAAAACCCTAAACCGTGAATCTAAAAGCTTAAAACTAAGGATTCGGGGTAAAATTAAAAGCATTGAAAAACGTCGGGAGCGGTACCGCTACTCGTCGTAGGAGTAGTAGCTGGAGTAGCAGTAGTAGCAGTAGTAATAGTAGTTGTTGTTGCAGGAGTAGGAGGAGGAGGAGGAGGAGGAGGAGGAGGAGCAGCTGCGGCTGCGGTAGCCGTGGCAGTGACAGTAGTAGCGCAACTGGCAGCACGCAAAAAGCAGTCAGGAGCGTCTTGCAAGAATCACAAGGAACATACTAATAAAGTAGCAGAAGCACGAAGTAGGAGAACAGTATATGCACAATGGCCGCTTCATGAGATACGATTGTGCATGATAGTAGCATGCCTGCCATCGCTTGGGTTGTTTCCTTAGTACGATTGCCATGGCCTTTCAGACTTCGATTCCATCATGAAGACTGCTTAACGACTCATACTTTCAAAGTAGGGTTACAAGTAAGGTTGTAATTGAGATAACCCTAATTAAGGCTCTTATAACCCCAATGCTAACCGCACTTACTACGTCCCTTAGGCCTTTGAGCCCTGAAGTACCATGCGGGAGTTTGTCAAAATTAGGGTCCCTCTTTGGGGTCCCTATTTTGATACGGCACCTATTATTTAGGGTACCCAAAAAGGGACCGTGATTTTGAGAACTACTCATTTGTTGTCCCAAAAATTCGACGCTCCAAGTCCGAGTTCTCGTCTGCTCTACAGAGTGAACTTTAGACGCAGATACGCATCTCTTGAACGGAGCAACCCCCCGTAGCGAAGGCAACCCAACGTGATAACCCCTTAGCTCGTGAATCCGAAACCCGATACTATAGGGGCCTTAATAATTACATAGTTAGAATAGGGTTTGGGGGTCCATTATACTATAATTAATCAGGAACCCCTAAAATAGTATAGGCATTTATTAAAGCCCCTATATTCCTGCAGCCCGAAACCCTTACTACCCCAATAAGCCACAGAACTAAAAGGTTTAACTCACCGAATCCTACTACACTACAAGAACCCGAAAAAGTTTAAAGGTTTGGGTATTCGGGATCTAAGAACCCGATACTGCAGCCAAGACAGCCAACCCTTAACACAAAATCCAACGTTTGGCCACTTGGGGTGGAATTGGACTTGGGTACAGACTGATGCCCGTAGGCTTCTTTGAGCTCGTGTAAGGACTTTGCCTATAATCAAGGCGATAAGTTCGGGGTTAAGACCCTGAATCCAAGACCCCGAGCCTTAACACCCAAAACCCATGAACCCTAGACCCTAAGCCCCAAACATTGTACTTTTAAACCCTATACCCTAAACCCTAGACCCTAAACCTTAAACAATGAAGTCTGAAACCTTAAACCCCTAGAGCCTAAGTAAACCCTGAAACACCCTAGACGCTGGAAGGCTTTTGGGTCGTTGCAGGGTTGGGTTTGGGGTTGCGTGCTTTGGGTTCCCAGACCCTCGGGAGGATCTAGAAAGTAGATCCCCTAATTTGGGGCCCTATGCTACTAAGGGTACTTATAGGAATACCCCTTAAATTATCTACTTTTTGGATTTTCCCGGGGGTCTGGGTTTAGGGTTTACACTAGGCTTGTGCGCTTCGCGGAGGAAGCAACAGGAGAAGTTCTGAGAGGGCGTGAGGGGAGGTTAGGGGTTTAGGGTTTAGGGTTGCAGGGGGTATATTGTAGCATAGCTTGTTCTAGAGGATATGATTATATACTAACTGCTCAGACCTGTGTACTAAACTCTACTTAAAGGCTCATGGGACCTAGTAAGTTTGGCAATAAGTAGGTTATAATTAACATAACCCCACCTAGTGGATGTATAACCAAAATTATAGCCTAAACAGCCTGAATTGTAGCGTCTAACCAGTAGGCATCCGACAGAGGTTAGGGCTTAAGGTTTACAGTTCAGGGTCTAGGGTTTGGGGGTTTAGGGTTTAAGGTATATAAGCATATTCGGACACCTTTTCTGCAGTAAACCCTCAACTGTCGGAGATCTTCGCTCCGGACAGAAGACGTTTACCTGTGTATGGAACCTATGAGCACTACCGGCAAACTAAGCCGGGTAAACATAGAAACAACACGTGTAAATGCCTGCATAAGATTGAGAACAGCCGTGGAAAAGCCCATGAAACGATAAATCGCCGAATAACAGCCTGATAGAACAAAGGCGGATCAATCTTGATAGAACATGTCTACATCCCTCCTTGTTCCTGCTTTTCTAACTAGGATACCCAGTAACCTAAGAATAACAGGCCTCTCTTTTTGGTATTGGGTAACTTTATAAGGAACCTAGGACTACAAAAAAGGAATAAGGGTACTACTGGGCATCCTAGTAAACGATCAGTGGAGTTTAGCGTCTTGGGGTTTAGGGTTTAGGTACCTTCAAGTTTAGGGGTGCGGGGTTCAGGGTAGGGTTTGACTACCCATACGGCAAAGCCCGCATCCCTGCTTTATGCTGCTTTTCTAATACCCTCATTACTGCGCTGGGAATTGCACTGTTCCGGATGAGAGGTGCGCCGATTTCGGCGACCTTACCGGGCTGTCCGGTCCTTCCTTGGATTAAGGGCTTAGGGTTTAGGGTTCAATGTAGGAACCTGATGAAGAAACCCTGGACCAGGAAAATCCCCCAACCGTAGGATTCATATGGGTAGTTGTCAAAATGAGCGTCCCTTTTTGAGGTACCCTGAATAATAGGTGCCGTATTATAATAGGGACCCCGTAATTTTGACAACCACCCATATATAGAACCCAAATTAAGACCCAGGGTTTCTTGATCAAGTTCCTACATTAGAGCTTGAGGCCCTTTCTTGGATTTTAAGCTTTCGGCTTTGAGGTGTCTTTTCGTTGGCACCGTTGTCAGTTTTTGGAGTTTAAGGGTTTGCTGGGGTTTAGGATTTAAGAGTTTACGGGTTCGGCTTTCAGGTCAAGCGTAGGGATGTACCCAAGACTTCCGATGTGCTTGAGTTCAACTACTCTTCGATCCCTCATACGACGTAAGGTATATTACTTAATCAAGGGACTTTGGAAGGTCTGGGTAGGCTTGGCACCCTCCGTCAAATCTGGGGCGGGGAGTCTTGCAGCACAGATCCCGATGCGGCAGCTCTGTCCTTTAGGTTCGGAGTTGAAAAGGATCTGGCTTTAGGGTTTAAGGTTTAAGGGTTTAGGGTTCTGCTACTTCTTTTACTACTACTGTCACTACTACTGCTATTACTACTAGTATAGGGTTTGAATGTACCGACACATACCTTAAACTACCAAAACCCACTATTGTTGTAGGTTCTTGTACAAACCCGAATTTAAAACTTATAAGGGCCCTACAAAAGCGTAGTTCATGGTAGTTAGTTCAAGGTCATGTTTCTTTACTGCAAAACCCTTTGCCACCCGCATACCACCTGGACAAAACCTTATATGGGTAGTTGTAAAAATTAGGGCCCCTTTTTGGGTACCCAAAAAGGGACCATTATTTTGACAACCGGCCATATAAACCCTCTTGGGACATGCTTCCCAGGGTGGAAATCGACGGTGGTGTTTAGGGTTTGGGGTTTGGGGTTCGAGTTTAGGGTTCAGGGCTTTAGGGTTTAGGGGTTCAGGGTTTAGGAATTCAGAGTTCAGGGTTTTGGGGTTTTGGGGTTCAGGGTTTAGGAGTTTTTGTTTAGGGTTTTAGGGTTTAGGGGCGCAGTGTTTAGGGTTTAGGGAAGCAGGCGAAGGACAAGAGACAGCTCACTTCCCCCTTCAGACGTGGTGGTCCTGCGCGGGAATCAAGGCGGTCTTGCCTGAAGCTGAAAGCCTAGGTTTAGGGTCAGGGTTTGCGGTGTTTAGGGTCGAGGGATTGGGGTTTAGGGATAAGATAACCCTGCTTAGGGTGCTGACAACAAACCCCAAAACCCTCCACCCTCAAACCCAAACCCTCAGTGCTCTTTCGACCCAGCTCAAACCGTTTTACTAAGTCCTTTAATCCCCGAACCCTACAAAAAAAAAAGGTAGCCAGACGCGCCGCCCAACACGGCCTTCGAAGGTCTTTTTTTTTTAAAGTGTAGTGCACCGCTCCTTTGACACCAGCAGGCCGTCGGTACTGCTCAGATTGAGCTTACACTGAAAAAGACGATCCAATATTATGAATCGTCGAAGGTCTAGGGCTTAGGGTTTAGGGGTTTAGGGTTTAGGGGGGTTTAGGGTTTAGGGTTTCCTAGCTTCCTTGGGCAGCGCCTCAACCGCCAGGAGTCGGTAGCCTGGCAGCTCAGCCTGGTGTGCGCCGACACACTCGTCCAAAAACCTGTGATACCCTGGGGACCTAGGGCGCCTTTTAAGGGATCCTTTAAGGGATCTATAGGGCCTGGGGTTTAGGGGAGTTTAATATCCCAGAATGAAGGCATATACCTTAAATCATATTAGGGATCCTACCATAATTTAAGGGGTATATTCCTTAATTAAGGGATATTGGAGTCTCTGGGCTCTGCACGTTTTCCAGGATCGCGTACCGTTTCAGGGAGCTTCTTGGGGTTCTGAAGGAACATAAGCGGTACCTGCTGGCGCTCCATGTTGCGCGGGTTGTTTTTACCCGGGGCTCCATAGTGCCAGTACGCCATCTCCTGTGGAGAGTACTTGGCTAACTGGTTTTCGGCAAGGACGTCCATAGGCAAGAGGTAGTTGTGACTACCGCGGAATAGATCCGGCCTGTCATTGGCAAAATGTCTGGTCAGATGTGCCATCCATCTGCCAATTTTGTTGGTTGGTAAAGGGCTCCTTTAAGGGATCCGCTATGGTTTAGGGTTTGGGGATCCATAAGGGCAAGTAGCTCCCCTAATTTGGGGCCCTATACTACGAAGGGTACTTTGCAGGAACTCCCATTAAGGGATCTACTTTTTGGATCCTCCAGGGGGTCTGGGTAATGGGTATATGACAGTGATATTAAGGTTCGAGTTTGTGGTTTGGGGTTATGGGCTTCGGGTATGTAATATTTATAGGGTTTAGCGTTTAGGGTTTTTAGGGCTTTTAGAGCTTTTAGAGCTTTTAGGGCTTTTAATGTTTAGTGCTTCGGGCTTTTATGGCTTTAATGACTGTCAGGGCTTTTCGGGTCTGGGGATTCAGGGCGAAATCAAGGTTATATACCGAGGGGTGCTTCTCAAGGGTCCCTCCTTTTATCGTTGTTCCAAGAAGACCCTTGTCGATCCTTTACTACTATTTGCTTAAGAACACCCAAAAAATTAAAATTATATTCCATATAGGGATAATATAGGGATTATTTTTTTTTATTTTTTTGGGGGGTTCTTAAGCAAATAGTAGTTTGAAGGAGCCGTAAGGGCTCCTCTTAAGGCTTCCTTTTAGGGCTCCTTACCCGACAACCAAAGCCTTGGAACCTACACCCTTGACCCTACAGTAAAAGCCAGAAAGTTGGAATATGATTATCCTAAACCCTTTATGGTAAATTATAGGGTATCCTACCCTGAAACCATATTCCAACTTTCTGGAGTTCCCTTTAAACCCTAAACCTAAGACGTGCACAACGCACCCTGAACCTACAACCTGAACCCTGAACACAAAACTCAATACCCTACTTAAAGGCTCATGGGACTTAGTCACTTAGTACGTAAGGTTACAAGTAAGGTTATTAATTCATTAACGATAATCCTAGTGAGCCCTTAGAACCTTCACTTACAACCCGACTTACTAAATCCCTAAATCCCTAAATCCCTAAACCCTGAAGGCCCTAAACCCTAACCCCTAACCCCTAACCCCTAAACCCCTAAACCCCTAACCCCTAAACCCCTAAACCCCAACCCCTAAACCCTAAATCCCTTGAGCTCCTAAGTTTACAAGCTCCTCCAGAGCGGAGCCCACGATGTCGACCAGCTCGCTGACTCGCACCTCTGCAGCTTTAGGGTTTAGGGTTTAGGGGTTCGGGGGTTTAGGGTTTAGGATGTGGGATTCCCAGAGACTCCAATATCCTTTAATTAAGGAATATTCGCTCGCACCTCTTCAGCTGTACAGTACTTGGAGGATCATGGGACTTAGTAAGTAAGGTTATAAGTTCCTTAATCGGGGCTATAAGTATAGTTACCTTCATTATAACCCTAGATACTAAGTCCCATGACCCTTTAAGTATGGTCTACTTTCAAAGTTTTAGGGTTTAGGGTTTATGGGTTTAGGGGTTTAGGGGGTTTAGGGTTTAGGGTATGGTCCACTTTCAAAGTTTTTTGGAGTTGGGGATTGGGGTTGGGCTTTTAAAGGTTTCAGGCTCAGAGTGTTTGGGGTTTACATAGGGTTCAGGGATTGAAGGGTTCCAGGGCTCTGCGTGTTACAGGTTTAAGGCTCAGGATTTTGTGGGTTTTGGGTCTAGGGTCTAGGGCTTTAGGGTTTTAGGGCTCTGGGTCTTAGAGGCTTAAGCCTAGAGACTCCAATATCCCATAATTAAGGAATATACCGTATATCATATTAGGGATCCTACCATCATTTAAGGAATATTCGTTAATTAAGGGATATTGGAGTTTCTGGGAACCCCACATCCTAAACCCTAAACCCCTAAACCCCTCAACCCTCAAGCCCTAAACCCTAAACCCCTAAACCCCTTAAACCCTAAACCCTAAACCTTAAACCCTAAACCCCTCAACCCTTAAACCCTAAACCCTAAACCCCTGTTTGGGGTTTAGAGGCTTTTGGCTCAGGATCCTTGGGTTTAGGGGATTGGGGCCTTGGAGTTTTAGGGGTTTAGAGTTTAGGGGTTTAGGGGTTTAGGGTCCTTGGGTTTAGGGGATTGGGGCCTTGGGGGCTTAGGGCTTTGCGGTCTTGGGGTTCGGGGTTCGTACTTGGAGGGTCGGGGGACTTAGTAAGTAGGTAGTAAGTAGACTTATAAGTACCCTAAAATAACCAGTTACTAAGTCCCCACCCTCCAAGTAGGGTTGAATTGAAGACGGCAATTATTCAAAGACAACTAGAGCAACGGTACTATCAGCATCAGGTTGCTGTAGGACTGCAATACTGTTGATGGACAAAATACTGCATTACCCTTTAAAAGGAATATACCATAGTTCCCATAGTTCACAGTCCTTAGGGCCATGCAGGATTTTGTCTATCAACAGTAAGGGTCCGAAAAGGGTTCTGGGCTTAGGGTTTGAGGATCCGTCTTCGAGGATCTGGAGGGGCTTTGTATGAGCTTTGACTTTTGCAGATTTGTAGAGCTTGTTTGGTTTTGTGGTCTTCTGGCTTCTATAATTTATGTTGCATAAGGCTTCTGTAGGGCGTTCTGATTCTAGAAGCTAGCTTTTTCCTGAGGCTTCTTGTGGGCTTTGAAGGGCATCACAGGGCTTTAAAGAGCTCTCTGTAGCATTGTCAGGGTTTTTTGGATATGGGTTGTGAACGTTTTACACGAGGTTGATCGTTCAAAACAAGGTTCCGGGTTCACTCTTGTTACTGTGATTCACGTCTACTAAGAAAGCTGCATAAAAAGGCTACCAGTACTTGAAGTTGTAGAAATTGTCGGGTTTAGGGTCTAGGGTGCTTTACGGGTTTAAGGGTTCCATAGATTTCCTAGCATCTTTACTTCTCTTCATACCAAAAACATGTATGCGCGTGCTGATGTGCCGAAAAGCTTCGGCAGGACGTTCTAAAAACTATAGAACTCCAAGAGCCTGCTAAATCTCACGATCATACCAGGATGATTGGGGTTGTGATTAATCACAATCGCTCAACCCGAACCCGCCTTCACAAGCCCCGGACCTTTCCGTCTTCGCCTTGTTGTACCCAACCCTAAGCCCTGAAACACCCCCTGCCCTCCGACCGCCTACACCGAACGCCCGAACTGGCAGCCCTGCGCTAGCGGCAAACCCCTAAACCCTAAACCCTGGAAACCTGGACCCGAAGCCACACTCCGAATCTCCTAAACCCTTGTAGCAACCCCTACGTACCTGGACCTTAAGGAACCTACCTGTTTTAGGCTTCCCTAATATGATTTCTTTATATAAGCCCTTAAAAAGGTAGGTTACTTGAGGCTAAACCCTAAACCCCAATTCCTAAACCCCAAAACCCTCAACCCTGAAGCCTAAACCCTCATCCTCAAGCCCTAAACCCCAAACCATCCCAACCTCTGATACCTAGTTTCCTACAAAGAAGGACCCCCTGCCCTGAAGAACCTTGAACCCAGGCCTCGACTGACTGCCACTCCATGTTGAACTCGCTATGCTGTCGCTCCTGTTTAGGCTTTAGGGGTTTAGGGTTTAGGGGTTTAGGGTTTAGGGGTTTAGGGTTTAGGGGTTTAGGGGTTTAGGGTTTAGGGGTTTAGGGTTTAGGGGTTTAGGGTTTAGGGGTTTAGGGTTTAGGGTCAGTGGTAAGATGTAAAAAAAAACCAGGAGCTTCGTGGCACAGGGATGCGTGCTGAGGCACTGCCTTAACACCAAATAACCTACCTTTCAAGGACTTATATAAAGAAGTCGTATAAGGGAACCCTAAAAAAGGTAGGTACTTCCGTGTTAAGGTAGGCCCTAGGGTTTGAAGCTCTTGCAAGTGTTAAGTGGTTTGGAGTGTTGGGCTTTGCGGTGTTGGCATCGGGTGCAAAACTTTTGGCTCCAGCGCCTAACCCTAAACCCTAAACCCTGAACCCTAAAGCCTAAAGCCTAAACCCCAAGCCCTCAACCCAGGGCTGTTGAGCTTGGAGCTGCGGGTTTGAGGGTCCGGATCGCAGACATGCGATAGCCGCAATTCTCAGATGAGTATGGAACTGCTTCAGGTACGACGCTAAAACCCAAACCCTAAAGCCTCAATCGGAAACACGCTACCGGGGTTTGATCTTCTTCTGTTTACAGTCGTTTCTTTCTGCAATAACCAGGCCCAGAAAAGCTCGAACTTCTTAGGATAGGCCAGATATATGCAGCTAAAAAATTTAAAGTTCTCCCATAGGCAATCTAAGCTCCTTCTGATTAAAGTCGTTTTGTCCGACTGCTCCGAGGGCATGTGGCTTGGGTTTAGGTCTTCGGCGGTTAGAGGCCCAAGGCTTCTATAACCCCTGTGACCCATCATGCACATTCCATTTTCTTCCTTTTCCCCGTAACCTTCAGAATTTTCAGTGCTTAACTCCTCCTTAGGGGCTGAGTAGCCTAGGGCAAAAAGGCTAGCCTTTTCAATTACGGTAGGGTTATATAAACCCCAAAAGGCTAAAGGTTACTAAGACGTCCTAAACCCTCTGGCCTTTTTCTGGAACCCTTCAAAGATCCCTTAAAGGAGCCCACCTTCAGACTTGTTCGTGTTTGACTCCTTTCCTGTCAGAGAACCAGCCCCACCTTAGAGGCCAGCGGAAAAGCTCACAACACACACACACACACACACACACACACACACACACACCCTAAACCCTAAACTAAACCCTAAGCCCTAAACACTAAACCCTAAACCCCCCAAACCCAAAACACACCGTTCCTCCAGGGTTTAGGGTTCAGGCTTGGACTCATCATGCAAATCCTGCTTTCCACTAGCTTGGCCCATTGAGGCCTCTGAAGAGAAGGTCCGCTTGAACCCTTATTGGGTTCCTTCAAGGAGTTCCTTTATTCCTTTAAGGGGTTCCTTTCAAGGGTTTGAGGGTTCCATTTTAAGGGGAAAGATAAAATGTCCCGATCGCCTACTTAGTCCAGTCAATATGGGAGTTTCC